GAGAAGTCACTGGTGTTTCATGAAAAGACTTCGTGCTCATTGTCAGTTCAGATAAGGCAGTAGGAGTGTCATGAGGGTACTTTTTGCTTAGAACGAGGCTCGCCGTTGCCCTGGCGGCGTCAGGGGCCCCCGCCCCGTCGTCCCCCGGAAGGTCTCCAGCGGTCCTCAGCCCTGTTCCCGCGCGCATCCGGGGGATGGCCCTGGCAGCATTCCCGGGCTGCAGAGCCCCGGGTGCCGGGCCGCGAGGCAGCGTCTCTCCAGGAGGGCACCGCCCTGCGTGGAAAGCTTCCTCCTCCTCCTCCTCCTCTGCTTCTCTGAGGGACGAGCCGCACAAATGCCTCCGCCACACAGTCAGTCAGAATGCAGGACAGCGTGGAAAAGCGAGTGGGCCCGACCCAGAGAAACAGCATCCCAGGCGCCTCTGGGCGGCTCGCCTGCAGAGGGACGCCCACGCTTGCGGCGTCTGTCGGAGGCACGACCGCTGCTGCCAACGCAGAAGGCTCGGCTCTTGGGGAAATATTGTGCTTTTCTTCCTCGGGTTCTCCATTTGCTTTTGTTTTTGGAAACTTCAAACGCTACCAGGGCTTGCAGCCTGTGGCCTGGGCCATCAGTTTGTTTTCTCTCTGGTCCATTTGATCATGGTTTCTGGCGAGCGGTACAGGAATATTAATTTGGCATACAGATCCTCCTCCAGTTCCAGCTCCCCGGTCTCTCGGACTAAAAAGATGTCCGTGCACAGCTTCAGAATCCGATCCACATTCGGGAGCTCTTCAAACATGATGGAGTGAGAAATCCCGCTGAAAAACTCACGGACAAACTTCCCGATCACCAGGACAACTGAGGCATACAGCCCCATGATGCTGAAAGAAGAAAGAGAGAGAAATTACATCTGGCAGCTAAGTGTGCTTAGTGACATGTCCAAACGAAAAAATAACATTTTCCCTCCAATGTCATAGAAGATATGATAGACTTACCAAAGCTTTTCCCTTTGGTGAAAATAC